AGTTTCATCCCTTTCAAATGACTCGTTCAGAACCGACCCAGCTCTACCGGGAGACGACAGAGGAGAGCATCGAGAAAAATGACCTCGATGGTTCGCATATCCGCCTCATATCGCATCCTGTGGTATCGAAGTGCAGGAAAATATGGCCGGTCATACCGTGAACATCCATTGGCATCCCGGTTCACCACATATCTATATAGACTGGTAGGATGCCCTGCCATGCCCAAGGAATTATTTTTCTCTTTGGGTAGAACGTGCTGCAAGGTACCATGGCCGAAGATATCGGCATGCCGGGATATCGTGAGCATTCGACGGCAACCCGCTAGTCTACAACAGTATCTCTAGACTGGCAGCCGAGGAATGCTGCGATATGCCATCTTATACCGCCGCGGTATGTGGCAGTATGCTCTCCAGTGCTGAACCAAGATCGTTCGTATGGTATTGGAGGATATGCTGGAGGATAACGTAGCGGAATGCGTTCGCATGCCGCAGCAAATTCAATCTGCGGATATTCTGTTAGGCTGTTAGGTTACCGACGGATGCTGCTATTATCTCAATTTTTCTCATTTGAATGTGCTGCCAAGCAAGATCGTTCTCCTCCAGAAAGTTCACACTAGTGATAAAATCTTCCACGATATCGCTAGGATCCATTGGCACCCCGAAGCATGCCGCTAGGTTTCGACAATAACTACAGCTTATCATCTTAAGTATGCTGTAGTATGCCGACGTCTCGCAACATGAGATCCCAGAGGCCTGACATGAATTTTGGTGCATCGAGAACCACTATGCTGAGGGATTCCGAGGGAGCTGGTAGTAAAGGACATCAAAAAATGAATTTTCTTCTAATAGTGCATACTGATACCGCAAGCATCCATCGACATTCCTATTTATGTATTTATACAATATCCTTGCAGACGAAGCATGTCGATGCCTAACACCGCGGAATTCCGCAGCACACTCTTCAATGAGAATAAAAATCTCCTCTGGAATATTGAAGGACATGCTGTGAGATTCTGCGACGTAAAACATCAGGATACCGTGGCATACTTTGGCTGCCGAGCTAATAAAATCGTAAGCTAGCAAAATATTGAGTGTTGCTCGAAGTATCTTCAGTATCTATCCATCTGACTCTCAGCGTCCGCTGCGAGAGGAGAAATATTTTCCTTTACCGTCCTCCGGTGTACTCTAGCCTTACAGGTTATTATTAACTCACCGCCTTGCCTCTACACCTTGTCACTTTCCAGTTTTATGTGGTATTCACCAAACAGTACATGTACAAAGCTTATGTTGAAAGAAAAAGATTAGACTAGTACGTGCCAGTATATGAAAGGAATGCGGCTGTAATTTAGAGTAGTGAAGACAAAGCAGAGTTGGTGCAGAGTCATGGAATGTAATGTAAGCTAATTATGATGCAAATTAATGGGTAACTGGGGCCAATTTGTGGCTGGCCAACTCCCCCTGATCGCATCGAGTCGAGGTCAAGGTGCACCACCGCTTTGTACAATGGCGGTTATTTATCGACAAACTGTTGGGTTTAGTGCTTATAGTCCGGTAAAAACGGTTTTTCAAATTAATAGGATAGGACCCTGTAATCCTTGTGGAAAACAGCTCTCGGCTAATTAAAGAATATTACAGGATGTAGGTATGAAGTAGAAAATGAATCTGTTCGTACTCTGTTAATATTTATAATATGCAGATAATAAAGAGACAGTATAGAATATTGTAGAGAAAATTTCAATTTCGACTCAGGAGTGTATATTCTCCACTATACACATGACTTTCTTGTCGATACGCATGTTCCAATTATGGCATTGGTTTCCTCACCATTGGGCAGGACGATGGTAAAAACCGAGCTTATACGTTTTATTTAAAATATTGTAAGACTTTGTAGGGTAGAATTTGTATTTTCGTCTCCTGTTACAAACGAATGCAACTTAGTGCTTCTGGGTAATTTGGCGTTCTAAATTCGAGCACAACCATCCATAATTTGTAAACTAACTTGTTGGTGAATTTGCGGTAGAGAATGTATCCTCCTACTCCCATTTCCGCAATCCACAAAATACGATTTACCTAGTAAATGGGTTTCAAGGTTTTGCTTGGATATTTACTTTAGGTAAAATTTTACCAATATCGATCGTGTAATCCCGCGCGTATGTCACTGAAAACTAATCAACTAGAGGTCAACTAACAGGTTTTACGAACAATTTCTGTTGCCTTAAAGTTATACACCACACAGTATTCGCGGGCAATCAGCGCCCTCTTGATATAGTGTTTGAAATCCTCAAAGACTCAGAATTTTGAAGTTTCAAAATCAAAATCACAAAAACTACAATATCAGCTTTTAGCACGTTTGTTATTGACCACCCTGTAGTTCCAATCTCCATTAATAAATGTGAATCGACATACTTCACGATGCTGTTCAGAGGTGGACCAATCGATGGCCCTTCTCTAACGGATAGCCTCGGGACCCATTCGCACCGACGCTACATCTATGTCAACGGGCTTCGCTCCTCAGACATCTCCACCATGATGCCGCCACGCGATGTGCCTGCCAGACAGACCCGCCTGACTTCGGCCTCTCATCCTAACTGGCCGGTACGATCGCTTCTGCTATCCTCAGGCAAAAATTGGATTAACAACGTGTCTTTAAGCTTCTGTCTGCGCGGTTCATCCAATATAAAAAAACATTTAATCCATTTTTTCAAGAATGAAGGTCAATTTTATTTATTAGATTACTGCTACCTTCAGTAAATTCTAAATAATTAATGTTGAACTACACTATTAAGAGACAATAGGACACGATAAGGTAACTTTGACGGCCGTTTTTTCGGCTGAATCCTGAAACTTGGATCATCGCCATGATTGCGATGCATGTACAAAGCGCTGCCATTTCGTGTTTAACATGGAATTTTCGGCTTACAAAGAAAATCAATTCAAAGTGTTTATGAGCTGGCTTTTATGCCTTTGAACATTTTTAATTCATAAATACCGCGTATACCTGAGTTCGGTTAACATTGTGTAAATTCACTGCTTTGGAAAGTTTTGTAACAAGGAACGAAACCATGGAAAGCACTTCTAGATGTATATTGGAAGGATATGTCACAGAATTAGTATTTACTGTTGTCCGTACCATCACCCAACTAACAATTATCACTCCTATTAGAGTTGCAAAAATGCTTATACAGTATTCCTTACACAGCATTGTATACTGTAAAAACATTGGCAAAACCCTCTTAGAACAGCTATACAAGCGGAATGGGCACACCTAATAGGACACTTCAGTCATTTAAGAGGTTGTATGAGGGCTGCAGGTGACATTTATACAACAAAGGTGTAAGCCCCTTGCAGCCGCTATAGGACATTTGCGTCAGTGCAAGATTCAGTTTTTGTCAACTATACAACTATTCTGTTACGTGATTCTACTTTATTGCAACCAAACTATTTCTTATGTATTGCATAGACGAAGTAAAGAATATATAACTAACACATTACAGTCATCTTGTTTACTTACATATCGGCCATTGTGAATTTCATACACAGGTATATGATAAACTTCTACACTGTGATATAGGGCTATTGAATTACTTGCGCAGCAAATTTTATTGTGATTATCGTGCAAAGTAGTTACGCAATTTCTACGGGCTTCTTATTTCATGCATATTTTGATAATGATCAAAAGTATGTCTAGATTTTTAAGATGGAAAACTGAACTTATCTGCGTCAAATCTTCCACAAATCCTATATTTAGACACAATTACACTTATGTTTATCAGTTTATATTTGTAATTTCGAACTGAAACATAATTATTTAATATTAAATAGAGGAATAAATGTTTGCCCAATATGGCTGGTACTTGTGTATAATCATGGCATCGTCCATGTTGTCTTCAGTTTATTAGAATATTTTGGTGTTGCCTGTAGGTGTTATACAACAATTTGACAAATGTCTGAAATGAAATACCGACAGAGTCCAATGATTTACCCAGAATTTGTACCAGATGTATGTATATCTTCTGTTTGAACAGTTGATAAAACCTTTTGAACCAATATGCATGCATTGTTTGTCTTAAATCATTGGTTATGGCATTTTAACAAAAATATGACAGCAGAAAGTTAGGTTATGGTGAAGTTATATACCAACATATTTAGCATATGTACAGCCTTTAACAGTTACTAAACAACAGTTGTATAAGTGCTTCCGTTGGGAGCAGCTTGTTGGCTAAAGTAGTAATATGTACAGCAAAACAACAAGGCTCGGGTTTGTTTTATACATGGATGCCACAACACAACCATTTTGACTAACGTGCAAATATGCCGTATAAAATAGTTGTATAAACGTTTATGCAACAGTTAAAAATTTGCCCTATAAGGTGTTGTATAACTATGCTAAAGAATATTTTAAACACCTCATTTTAGAGCAAATATGTTGCAGAAAGCAAATTTGCATTCCACACAACATTAAGCCACCATTTTGGTGTTCAGGCAACAACAATAGAGAGCTTTTATGGCTGAATGGTTCTTTTACCAAAAGCTTATAGCACTACGTTGCTAGTTGGGCAGTATTTACTAACCGTTCCGATAGCGCTAGTGGATTTCTACCTAACCTCAAGCATCGATACTTACTGACATCCTAGTTGCTCGGTCATTCAGAGTACCATAATCCACGATAAATACTGAAAGTAAATACTAATCATGTGGCGTTCGCCTTAGAATTTCAACAATTAAGCCGACATCAGATTCATAATCTACACACCTGATTTACCGCGGCAGCGCGTTTTAGTTGAGATGGCAGATACGAAAAATGTTCTTCGACAGTATTTCAGTTTCAACGTTCCTCTATACATGTCTGTTGTCCTCTCGCTTTGTTAAGAAACGACACTCGATGCACGTTAGTTTTTGCAAGGCATTTGGTCCCGAGGCGCCACATTGACTGTAAGATCTGCTTTTTATTTCTACTACATAGATATCCGGTTTATGTCTATTTTCTCTTGGAATTTTACCAGTGCATGGCTGCATCTCTGGACAGAACTGTGTTTCAAGTAGTTCGCACGCAGACATCAGCTCTATTGTCTATAAACGAAGACTTTCATTTTATTTTTACATTGTTGTTTACACCTTTTGCTGTTAATCTATTTTTTAAAGTAAATCCGTTGAAATCCAAGTTCGTGTTACAGTTTACTTTCCGCAATTTGTTAGCAACAACACCCTCACTAACATAGTTTGGCCCTTCGAAGCAGTGGCGTAGCTAGAAGTCATGGGGCCCCGGGGCAAACATTTTTTGGGGGCCCTCATGAGTATGTTTGAGAATTAAAAATATCATGTTATAATAAAAAAATTGTTTATTGTCATAAAAACAAAAAGTATCACAAATTAAAATAATGAAATAACAAAAGTCAAAAATTAAACAATAATAAAATTAAAAATCCCTTTTTCTTGCTTTTCTATTTGCAAATTCGTTGATAATATCATTTATATCAAGGTTTTGGGCTTCTTCATTCTCTATAGACAGCGAAGCAAGATCGCTTAATCTAATCTGGCCTGTAGTAGACCTAAGATCGTTTTTTATAAGTTTTAGCTTGTTAAATGATCTTTCAACAGTTGCAGTAGTTACAGGCAACGTAAAAAATAAAAGGTACATTAACTTCACTTAAGTCGCTTTCAAGTACTCCATACTTACTCAAAATTATATTGAAATTTTTCTTAATTGATAGATCATTCTTAAGGTCTGTTTTACAAACATTTAACAAATTGGTATACTGAAATATTAAATTATTTAAATCAAATATTTCAGGATATTTGTTATAAATGGCTGTACATTTATTTTTAATGGATGTTTCATCGCAACTTAATATAATTTTTGGAAGAAGTAAATCAGACAATTTATTATTTTTTTTTCATGCTCCTAAATCTTTTGGAAATCTGTGTCAAAACACGGTCCATAACAACATTAAAAACATTTATTTTAAATAAAATTTGAGTATTATTAAATCTGTAACCACTTAATAGTTTGTCAAAGTGTTTTTAACTTTAGGATGACGTTTTTGCCTGAATTCCGGTTGAATATTCCATTTGCTAGCCAGTTCCGTAGCTTCAATCATTAAAATTTCATGAGAATATCTTCATTCAGTTAGGTTCTTTTCTACTTGTTCTAAAACAGTCACAGATTCACTTAAATCAATATTTTTCTTTTAAAGGACCTTTGAGGCGAAGTTAACCTGGGTAAAGATTTTATACAACATTGTTGAAATAAATACAAATTCAAAGCAACACATTTGTTTTTAATGGAAGAAGCTTCTTCTCTTTCTTCATTTTTATGAGACTGTAACTCTATTTCTGTTAAAGATTTAATAATATCAAGATAACGAAGTTTGACAGCACTAATAGACAATATCAATCAATCAATCAATCATTTTGTTGAACTCTTTTTATTTGAGCATTTACTCCATTATAAGCTCCACTCATTACACTGGCTCCATCGTAGCCTTGCCCATTACATTTTTCAATGGGAATATCTAGATTTTTTAGTATATTTGAAACTTCTTGAGTCATTCCTCCAGCAGAATGATCTTTTAACTGGAAAAAACCCAAAAAGGATTCTTTGATTTCAAACTTTTGAGATAGGAGACTTTTATCTCGAATTATGTGACACGTTGAATAACTATACTTAATTGATCTATCTTTGTGATATCTTGAGTTGTATCAAGAAGCACAGAAAAAAATGTTGCGGAATTTATTTGTTTTGTTAATTCTAAAGTAAGTTTTTTTGAAAGGCAATCTATCAATTCATTTTGAATAGTTGGGCTAAGATATCGCACAGATCCAGAAGGCATTTCCACCACCTGTTTCATAACATCGTCATAGTCTGAAAAAATTTCACTTGAGCCATAAAATTCCCGCTAAAATCATCTTAACGTTCACGGTGCCCCCGAAATGACAAGGAACATTTAGCCAAAAGTAATGTAATTTTAAATAATCTTTGCAATACCATTTTCCAGAAGGATGCTTGAAATCTGACCTCTTCTTCTAGGTTCTTGTCAATGGTACGATTTTTTCTCCAAAGGTCGTGAACAGCGCAAGCTTCAATATGAGCTTTGCTTTTACTGTGCTCTTCAATGCGTGATGATAAATGTTTCCAATCTCTTAAGCCCGTACTCCAGTGACTGCACAATTTTGAGAAAAGTCAACAAGATTCACAATAGGCTGCATCTAGTACAGTTGAATAGCACAGCCAAAGACGATTGACCGGACCGTATTTTGTAGTAGAAAAATAATAACTCTCACTAAAACTGCGATCATTTTGGTTCAAATCCTTGGGAAATGGACCTTTAGGTCTGTTGGGTTCAAGACTAATAATAATCTTTTTATCTTCATCAGTAAGAGTTTTTCCCATGTAAAATCCAAGATCGCTACATACAGTAATGTTGCTATTAGAGGAACCTGGTGTAGTAAACATGGCATTGCTAATAAAATTTTCATTTTCGTCATCCGTTATTACAAAAAAACAATACTGGATAATTTGGGGGCTGATTTCGAATACGCTTCCACATCTCTGAATATGCGTTTGAGTTGTAAACTGAGGATGAGAAGAATTTAAGTTTTTTTCTGAAGTTATCCCTACTCAAATGCTTAGAAAATGCTAGGCACAGCAACATCCATGTTTCTAACCTTCAAACTTGATGTGAAGATTCTGCTTTATCACCTGAATCTTAACCCCGACTCACTTCAATAAGTGTCCGGGCGAAACTAATTTTTTAATCGAAATTTCGGTCTTAGCTTTAGTTTCTGCCGAAACCGAAACTTTTTATCGATGATTTTTTGGAATAATTCAAGTATTCTGAAATACGAGTACATCTATCTGGCGCGGAAGTTAAGGTAGTAGTGTATCTCTAAGAAAAAACGAACTCTATTGGAGGCTTTCTTTTATTTTAAGAATAATCAATATGAAAAGTATAATTAATAAAGTCCCTAACATTTGGCTATCATTCTGCGCCTTCTAAAAGAAAATTATGGCAATAGTTTCCTTTTATATCCCTACAGTATATAAAACAAAATAAAAGATGATGTACCAGTTAATACAGTTAGAGGAAAGGGACCAAATTTGAGATAATTTTTTGAAAAGGAAAATAAAATACTTGTTTTAAACGAGCGTATATTTTAAATAAACTTGAGATTTGATGCTCCTAGCATACTCTAAATAAGAAATAATATTAAATGTATTTTTTTACAGACAAAAAGTATATTTTAAAAAAAGTAAATATTTTTGTAAATTTACAGCTGGTTTCCTAATTTGAGATACTATTCAAAACATCCCTTTCTTTTGCAGAAAGTGCAAAAGAAAATTTTATTGGTAATCTCTTCACATTCTTTATGTGCCCATCTACTACAATGGCTGTATTTTGCCCATTTTAACCCTTCTTATCTTCGGAAAATGGACCCGTACAAAATAAATATTCAGCATCGCTTTCATGTTGCTTTCATCTGAAGATGAATCATACAACTTAAGGCTTCCTCTGCATTCTGAACTTGAACTGGAGGGGGAAGGTATCTATCCCAATCCTTTTGACGCTTTTAAATAATCCATCTTCTTACTCTTGTGCTTCCAGGCATCTGCATCTTGATACAGGGCCCCAATTTGAAATAGTCTCAAACTAGGAATTTTCCGTAAAAAAGTTTAAACAAGCATATTTAGGTTATTTACCTAATAAAATCACAGTATTGTAAAAGAAAATAAATAAGGTATTTGTAAACTACTAAATTTATATCAGACAATTGTTCTAAATAACTTACCTTAATTTTAGTAATAACTTTTCTCGCACTATTAAAAGTATTTTTAACTCTCAAGAAGTGAAGGGTCGGCCGGAACAACGTTGTATGTAACAAAAAAGCTCAGTGGCCGAAATTAAGAAAAACTAATTTGAACCATTTTTTCAAATGACTGCGTCTATAGTTGGCCAGCACAATAAAGGAACAATAGTTAGACAAGGTTATTGTAATTTAAAAATGTGACACCTATTTTGCAGCTATGGGAACCATTTTTATGGAAAACGCATGTAACAAGGTTGTATGATCACGTTACTTACAACGTTGTTACAGGGAGGCTTTAAATGACTATAAGCAAAACAAGTATTCTCAGCAGTTCTATTTATTAAGGGAACCAAAGTACACAGTAACATTTTTTTTTATATTCCAACTACCACGAAGGCCTAAGGCCTAAGCACCCATTGGGTACCATGGGGCTATGGGGGATACATGGGAAAGGGGGGACGCCACACAGACTCTGGCGAGGGAACACGTGTGCATGCAACATGCACACATTCTGGCTCCGCCTACGAGAACCGCCGGGTGGTACCTCCGCGTTCGACAGTCAGAGACCATCTACCACCTACGGACAATCACAACATCCATAGCCAAGAGAAAAATTTCTCCTGGGACGGGACTCGAACCCGCACAGTGCACGGCGACTGATCAGGAGACCGAACAGTCTACTACTGCGGCCACCGCTGCTGCCTAACATATTTTTAATAACAAAAAAATACGTTCAAAGTTCATCAACGTGTTTCGAAACCAAAACTGAAACTAAAATAAATATTACTGGGTTGCAGTTAATTTCTCATAAAATGTTACATACTTAAGCGGAATATAATCACTCATATCTTCAAGGTTTTTTAATTTTTCATCTTTGATTGGAAGAAGGTTGTGATACATTATAGGTAATTTTTCAGATGATATGATATCAGTGGCAAAAGTCATTATTTCTTTTCTTTTGCGATTGCTTATGGGAAATGAATTCCAGGGCTGCATAATATTATGAGATTTTCTCATTCTCAAAGTAGCTGGAGAATCAGCGGTAAGTTGCAGCCACAATCCTTGTGTAATTTTAGATTTGGGGTATTTCCATATACAATATTCCAAAGCTGTTAAATTCTCAAAGAAGGCTTGGTGCATTCAGACAACTTTAAAAGGATTTTTAACATTGGCTTTAGCAATGACATCGACCCACTAGAATGGTTCATAAACCATAGATATTCTTTTTTGTTTACGTACATACAACTTTGTTACGCGGAAGACTGAAACGGCGCGCTTTACAAATTCGCGTCACAGTGATTGATGCGAGGTGGGTCTATGTTGTCAACGGGTCCCAATAGGCACATACTACATTGTTTTACGGAAATCTCATTTTATAGAAAAATGTTATATACAACGTTTTCCGGCCGACCCTTCAAGTAACAAGTTGTGATATCACAGCAAACCATGTGCAAAACTAAACTGTAAACACATGTAGGATACTACTGCGTCTTAGTTCACAACTTTTTGGTATTACTAGAAGATGGTGCTACAAAGATACAAAGTTACACCACTGTCTCAAATTAGGCGCTTGTCTCAAATTCGGTTCCTTCCCTCTACCTAGAAAACGTATTAAATCTGGATAGAAGATTGGTTATCGGAGCAAAAACATAAATTGTTGATACGATACTGATATATACGGTGAGGTTCAAATGTGGCTGGCGTCGTAACGTGTAACGAAGTGCTTCTGTCTCCTTTTAACCCACGTATTGCAAACGTCTCGTGCTTCTCTCTCATACACATTGTGACGTCAGTGGTATTTGGTTTTCAGTGACCTTGACTCTAAAAATTGATCCTCTGCACATACTGACATCAGTGAAGGGACGAATTAAAGAGACGCGTCTCTTGATAATGTAAGGCATCGCGTTCTAATTGGCTGATAAACTCATCCCACATAGCGTCTCAGAGTTGTGGTAATGGAACCTCAGTCTAATTTACCATATATAGTATCACAAGCTAAAAATGTAAGTGCCAACAAGAAAACGAACATACAGATTAAAGCTGAAGATTGTAGCGCCTATCGTCTCGAAACCAAAAACATATAAAGGTTAAATAAACTATGAGGTTGATCACACTTTTGTATGTTACAATAAAAAAAAACATGGAAACACTTAAAGCGCCAACGTATATTCGTTTTCCGTTGTACTTTCGGTGGATTTTCGGCCGAAACTGAAACAAAACGCCAGGAAGAGAATTATGCAAGGATTATAAACCTGAATGGGCTGAAAACATTAGAGGAAATGCAAGCAAATTTTCAATACTGCAGGTAACTTGGAATATTTCGTTATCTAAATAAATGTAAACACTATCTATATTTTTTTGCCGTAAATGTAATGTAAATCACACAAAAAGTACGAGGAATGTCTTTATTGTTTTTCGAAATATTCTCCACGAAGATTAATACACATCTGCATGCGTTCGAACCAATTTTCGAAGCACTTATTCCACTCGTTTGCTGGCAGATAAATAAGGGCATTTTTGAATACGTCAACTGCTTCTTCTGGTGACTGGAACCTTTGACCACGCGGTCTGTTTTTAATTTTCGGGAAAGTAAATAAATCGTTAGTACTTAGATCGGGACTATGTATATGGAAGATGGTCCAATAATTCCACGTTTTCTTCCGTATAAATACTGCCTTGTTTTTGGGCTGTGTGCGAGCTTGCATTGTCTTGGTGGAGGATGATTCTTCTTTCGTGGTTGATTTTCCGAAGCTCGGCGATGACTTTTG